GGAGTGATCTTCGGGCCTCGTTAGTATGATTGGTCAGCTTGGGGGAAGTGGGTGGAGTCATCTTCGGGTCCCGTTGGTATGATTGGTCAGCTAGGTGAGGTCACCTTTGAAGCCATTTGATTTAATAAGGTCAGCTGGAAGGTAGTAGGAGAAGTCACCTTTAGGACGGTGTGTTGGTCAGCTAAAATGAAGTGAGCAGGGATCACTTCAGGTCTTGTAATGGAAACAGGCAGCTAAGGGGAAGTGAGCAGGGCAACTAATGTAGAAAAATACACCGATGGCTCTTTCTTGACTGCACTAAATATTTAGATGCTATAAGAACGTGCTATATACAAGAAGGAGATATAGCAAATGTACCAGAACCCTGACCATGTCCGTAGTGAGAATATTCATATAAAAAATATATATATATATACAGAGATTATTATAACATTATCATTCTTTCAGATGTGTGTGTCTAATACTGTTAACCTCAGTGCACTATGAGGGGCATTTCTGACTCCTGTGAAGCAACAAGATAATGATTATTTTACTATGTTGCTGGGCCTGAGGTTTACGATTCTCAACCCTTGTCCAACGGGGCTAGTCTTTTCTTATTACAGATTTTTTTAATCTAAATCTAGCCAAGGATTCGAACCCATGCTGTGCTGGCACTGGTAAGGCGTCATGTGGTTCTCGCTCACAATGGCAGGCCAGAACAACATGGGTTCGAATTCTTGGGTAGCGCAGTGTTGTTATTAATATATATATATATATATTATATATATATATATATATATTATATATATATATATATATATATATATATTATATATATATATATATATATATATATATATATATATATATATTATATATATATATATATATATATGTCGTGCCGAATAGGCAGAACTTGCCATCTTGGCTTAAATAGCAGCGCTCATCTTGCAGTATAGGGCAAGTGAAAATTTGTGTATGCAATAATTTCGCCAAAATCATTCTGAACCTAACGAAAAATATATATTTGATTGTGTTTGTTTAGTACTAAATTATTGTAAACGTATTTAAAATATATTTAGTTGGATTAGGCTAAAATAAATTTCTCTTGTTATAATAAGGTTAGGTAAGTTTTCTAAGTTTCTTTTGATGCAAAATTCAAATTTTTTACATTAACATTAATGAAAAAAATATATCTTTCAACGTATAAGAAAAATTTTTGGAAAGGACTTAATTTTAAAGGAGTTCTTGCTAATTGACCAGTTTTACATATTCGGCACGACATATATATATATATAATATTATATATATATATATATATATATATATTATATATATATATATATATATATATATATATTTCGGCAGGTGAACCTGTAATATCCTTAGAATTTATCTTCACTCCATTTCCTCGGATCAAACTTCTTCCCGATTTAATATGACAAACCATACCACGGGCGGGGATAGATCGCGGGTTCTATCCCCGCCCGTGGTATGGTTGGTTTGCAATCGTGTCATTACGATTTCGTGAGTAATATGACGTATCTTGTAGACTGAAAACATGGTGGTGTTATATCCCGTTTTGTTAGAATGAAATGTATATAGCATATTTTTAGAGTTCGCGTGAGCACTTTCGTGGTCTCGGTCTCATTCTTGGTCTCGGTCTCATTCTTGGTCTCGGTCTCATTCTTGGTCTCGGTCTCATTTGTACATAAGGCATATTAGGAATTTAGGTTTATACGTAAATTTATATTTTTGTAGTAAGCATATTTAAAACATTAGATGGTGTGTTGGTGGTGTTGCTGGTGATGATGTTGGTGGTGATGTTGGTGGTGATGGTGGTGATGATGTTGGTGGTGATGTTGGTGGTGTTGCTGGTGATGATGTTGGTGGTGATGTTGGTGGTGATGGTGGTGATGATGTTGGTGGTGATGTTGGTATTGATGTTGGCGGTGATGTTGGTGGTGATGGTGATGCAAGGTGTTGGCGCTTGCAGTGGTTGTAACAGTATTGGTGGTGATGTTAGTGTGATGGTGATGGAGGATGTTGGTAATGATATATTAGTGGTGGTGATGGTGTTGGTGGTGATGAAGAGTGGTGATGGAAGGTGTTGGTGCTGGCAGTGGTGTAACAGTGTTAGTGGTGTTGGTGATGAAGGATGATGATGGTGATAATGGTGATGATAAGTGTTGGTGGTGGTGTATTAGCATTAGGTTGGAGATGCATCATGAAGTAAACGGTTGTTTTGACCTGAATTTATGGTCAGGTGTGAGTTAATTAGCTAAGGTATGGTAATAACAAAGGGTTATCTCACTCTTTTATAATTAATGTCTGGGGGAGGAGGGAGTTTTTTCATCAGAAAATCTCGTGTTAAATATTAATGATCATCTATGACCACAAATGTGGTGAATATTATTGTTATTTCGAAATTTTGTGAGAGGTTAGACGAGTAAGAGGAAGTAGGTGGGGACCCGCTCTCTGATTAACCTACGTAATAGGGAGGGTCACTGCCTGGGTATCTCTCTTAGATTGGTATAACCCAGCTCCGCGGCTGGGTTATACCCAAGTTTTAGATTCTGCCCAAGAGGGTGTGGCATGACAGGTTTATTAAACGAAATAGATGTATATATGAGACTGATTATTTTCCAGTTTGGTGTGTGAGAGAGAGTTTTGGTTTGTCTGGTCTCATGGTGTCACCACCATTACCACTAATACACCATCATCAGCAACACCATCACCATCGTTTTGCCTACCATGTCTGAGTTATAATTCTACTATCATCACCATCACCACCATCCTTTGTCATCATCATCACCATTCATCACCACCACTCATACACCACCACCACCAATATACTCCATCAACACCAGTATCCTTCATTACTTATCACCAACACACTTCATCCCCAGCACCCATCACCACCACCACTAACGCCCTCCATCGCCACCAAGTCTAATACACCACCTCCAGCACCAACGTCCTCCATCATCATCACCCCCCTTCATCACCATCAACACCATCACTACCACTAACACCCTCCATCTCCACCAACACCCTCCATCACACCAACACCTTCCATCACCACCAACATCCTCCATCACCACCAACACCCTCCATCACCACCAACACCCTCCATCACCACCAACATCCTCCATCTCCACCAACACCCTCCATCACCACCAACACCCTGTCTAATATTTTATTTATGCTTATTACAAAAATATAAATTTATATATAAAACCCAAATTCCTTATATACAATGTAAAATGAGACCGAGACCACGAGAGTGCTCACACACACACACACACACCACACACAAAACCACCACACACAAAACCCCACCCCACACACACATATATATATATATAATATATATATATATATATATATATTATTTTATTATATTTATATATATATTATATATATATATAATATGTATATATATGTAGTGCCGAATAGGTAAAACTTGCTATTTTGTCTTAAATAGCAATGCTCTTCTTGCCGAATAAGGCAAAGGCAACAATTGTGAATGCAATAATTTTGCAAAAATCATTTTGAACCTAACGAAAAAAAATATATTTCAGTGTTTTTTTTATTAATAAATTATTGTAAACTAAACGTACAAGAGAAAATTTTAGAAAGGACTTAATTTTATGTGAGTTCTTGCTAATTGACCAATTTTACCTATTCGGCACGACATATATAATATACATTTATATTCACATACTATAGATAAGACGCACATATCAGCACTTGTGGCAGCCACTGCTATTTTATGAACTCGTACTTTATATAAAGGATAGAGAACCTTATCTCTGGTAATCCAGCGAATCCAGCAGAAGTTTGATCAATGATTTCCAGCATTGTTACGCCAGTGGTTCCATCATCACTGAACTCATCTCCATCTAACAATGATCAGCGTAAAGATACATGGTCTTGTTCCATGACGACTATGAAACCAACACTTCTATTCACAAATCCTTTTCTTTTCTGGGGTTAAAAAAATTGTTTGATTAGAAACTATTCTGTATTTTGGAAGCTGTCATCTGTGTCTTGGTCTCTCTCGCGGCGGTGCTGGGATCACGAGGCTATCATCTGTGTCTTGGTCTCTCTCGCGGCGGTGCTGGGATCACGAGGCTATCATCTGTGTCTTGGTCTCTCTCGCGGCGGTGCTGGGATCACGAGGCTATCATCTATGTCTTGGTCTCTCTCGCGGCGGTGCTAGGATCACGAGGCTATCATCTGTGTCTTGGTCTCTCTCGCGGCGGTGCTAGGACACGAGGCTATCATCTGTGTCTTGGTCTCTCTCGCGGCGGTGTTGGGATCACGAGGCTATCATCTGTGTCTTGGTCTCTCTCGCGGCGGTGCTAGGATCACGAGGCTATCATCTGTGTCTTGGTCTCTCTCGCGGCGGTGCTGGGATCACGAGGCTATCATCTGTGTCTTGGTCTCTCTCGCGGCGGTGCTAGGATCACGAGGCTATCATCTATGTCTTGGTCTCTCTCGCGGCGTGGTGGGTTTCCGAGGCATCATCTGTGTCTTGGTCTCTCTCGCGGCGGTGCTGGGATCACGAGGCTATCATCTATATCTTGGTCTCTCTCGCGGCGGTGCTGGGATCACGAGGCTATCATCTGTGTCTTGGTCTCTCTCGCGGCGGTGCTAGGATCACGAGGCTATCATCTATGTCTTGGTCTCTCTCGCGGCGGTGCTGGGATCACGAGGCTATTCATCTTTTGTCTTGGTCTCTCTCGCGGCGGTGCTGGGATCACGAGGCTATCATCTATATCTTGGTCTCTCTCGCGGCGGTGCTGGGATCACGAGGCTATCATCTGTGTCTTGGTCTCTCTCGCGGCGGTGCTAGGATCACGAGGCTATCATCTGTGTCTTGGTCTCTCTCGCGGCGGGGTGCTAGGATCACGAGGCATCATCTGTGTCTTGGTCTCTCTCGCGGCGGTGCTGGGATCACGAGGCATCATCTGGTCTTGGTCTCTTCTCGCGGCGGTGCGGGGATACGAGGCTATCATCTATATCTTGGTCTCTCTCGCGGCGGTGCTGGGATCACGAGGCTATCATCTGTGTCTTGGTCTCTCTCGCGGCGGTGCTGGGATCACGAGGCTATCATCTATGTCTTGGTCTCTCTCGCGGCGGTGCTGGGATCACGAGAAGCAGCAATCACCAGATTCAGGGTTCACATTAATTCATTTAACCTACACACAAACTGCACTTACACACACACACGTTTATGTCAGCAGACGCGAGACTGTACAATCGGTGGACGGTTTCATTTTTTCTAATACAGTATCTGCCTGACTCAAGAAAGACTTGTAATATCACATGACGGGATCTTCACAGGCAATTATTAATAAAATATTTACACAGTAAGACCCAGTAGCTCAAGGACTCAGAAGAGTGTGGATGGTGGCAAGGGAGAGTTTTGTGCATGACCACATTACTCGAGTCAGATTTACTTTTTTCAGCAAAAAAAAAAAAAAAAACTCACACACATGCGGCCTTTTGGCACAATTTTCCATAAGTCGGTGTGGAACTTGGTAAAAAAAAAAAATGCCGAATTTAATTCCGGCAGGAAGACATAACCACAGCCTCCACGAGGGTGTTATATTACAATAAGTATATATATACATATATAATTTTCACTGGGATGCTTTTGTCAGCCTAAATATTTACAAATCTATCTATACAAACATTTCTGCCCCGTTTCTTGTCTTCTCCAAGAATCAAACACTGTACAAGAAATAGGGATATATTTCACAGAAAGGAAAGAGTGCAGATTTGAAGCACATAATTTCCCTCAGGCACTAATGGCACGAATTTTCGACAATTATTATGAAATTTGACTCTATATAGAAAAATATTACTATACTGTACATGTCATCCTTTTGTTGACGAAATATTTCACTATTATCAGATATTTGACCGACTGGCACTTGCCAGGACAAAGGGAAGGAAGACGATGTAGTATGTGGCACTACAGGTGGTCGGTGGCACTACAGGTGATTGTTGGCACTTCAGGTGGTCGGTGGCACTACAGGTGATTGTTGGCACTTCAGGTGGTCGGTGGCACTACAGGTGATTGTTGGCACTTCAGGTGGTCGGTGGCACTACTGGTGATTGTTGGCACTTCAGGTGGTCGGTGGCACTACAGGTGATTGTTGGCACTTCAGGTGGTCGGGGGCACTACAGGTGATTGTTGGCACTTCAGGTGGTCGGGGGCACTACAGGTGATTGTTGGCACTTCAGGTGGTCGGTGGCACTACAGGTGGTGGGTGGGCCTCGCAGTCATCTCCAAACTATACAAACATTGCACACGGAGGTCACTACTGTCTACGATTCCTGGACTGTTGTTGTTATACCGTTGAGTTTTTGGTGTTGCACTGTTTCTGTTGCTCCTTTGTCGATGCATCGCTACTTTTGCACCGTTACTGTTACTGATGTTTAGAACGGGAGGAGGGGAGGGAGAGGTCAAGAGGAGAGGGACACATGGAGAGGTCGAGGGCCGTGGCTGTATCCATCGCCTCCTCTTCCTCTTCCTCTTCCTCCTCCTCTTCCACCATATGCGGGTGGGGGTGGAGTCCCCCCAGACCAGCTAGCCCAGCCCCTCCTTGTAACAGCAGTCCTGCTTGATACTGTTGCAGCGCTACCGTCCACGCCGCTGCTGTCACGGGCGCCCATGACGAGATACCGGCCGCACCCACGCTGTGTCCCGTCGAGGCGCCCGGGAAAAGCGTGGGCGGCAGCAGCGAGGGTGAGGGCGTGGAAGGCACAGGAGAAGGCACTAGAGAAGATCCAGAAGACGAAGGGGAAGGCGAAAGGTCAAGCCTAGCCGAAGCTGCGAGAGACGGATCGAGGAGGTCGGAGGAGCCGACAGGAGGCACGGAGAAAGAGTTGTGTTGTTCGTCTGGCCGGCGGTAATGGCCGTAGATCTTGACGTGCTTCCTGAGGGAGGAGGGATCTGTGTAGCGTTTCCCGCACCCGGGGTGGCGACACTCGTACGGCTTATCAACGAAGTGCGTCCTGGTATGCTTGAATCTGTCGGAGGAATTTGAGTATGCCTTCCCGCATCCCGGCACCGTGCATACGTACGGTTTCTCTCCTGTGTGCGCACAAGAAAAATAATTTACTGATGTTTGCACAACCAGCTGAGATGTGCCTAGAAAACAGTTGTTTTTATTAATAATAAAGATGCAATGAAGCCAAAATGTACATAAAAATAAAGTGAAACCTGACCAACTTTTCAGTCAGAAAAAAATATTACCACAATAAATTCTCTCGAAAGAAATGGGTGACACTTAACATGCATGTAGAAAGACCATGATTATGTATAGCATTTCAGACAACCTTAAGACTGCAACGGCAATAAACATTCACATATGACAATAAAACGTAATGAATATGTAACGCAGGTATATGTAACTATATAAAGTATATCACTGTACATAATTACAAGAAAAATTATTTGAGCTATAGTAAATTGATAAATAAATTTTTTTTATTAAGTGGCACTCAGTTCAAGAACTGGTACTTAAGCAGCAGCAACTATTGCAAGTAACAGTCACATTCTTAAAGTTAGTTTCACCTGAAGAGAAAATAATGGAAGTAAATCAACATTATGAAACGTCTTTTAGTTTCCACCTGCATTTATTTGCTTAGTGGAGCAATAACAGCCTGATTGATCAGGCCCTGATCCACCGGGAGAAATAAAATCTACAGCAACAATTAAGCTACAGTTGACATCACTTACAATAACTTAATACTCACAATCACTGTAGTTTTTACTGTAACCAGTTAAAAGTCACAGTTATTATATCTAATGTATTATAGTATATTACCATTTTCCTATAAATAAAGTATCCACAGATGTGCGTATAATTAAGTTAATAAAGTAAGTTGATATATAAATACCTAGAAAATTAAAAAAAGATGGTAATGGTGGAGATGACAGAGGTTTATCAATTTTCTAAATGAAGCACAGGGGGGACTTTACCATAAATATATTAAAAAAAAGTGCTAAATTCTCACGGGTCATACAACGCTGCACGCTGGAAGAGGGAAATGGAAGACGTAACAGTGAACGAAACGAAAAAGAGACTGACCAAGAAGTGAAAAGAAACCAGATATAGATTCATGTCTGTAAATATAAAAGGAGAATACCAAACACTGGGGAAGACAGCGGTTGACTTCGGCTTGAAGAGAAGCACCACCAACCAGATAGAACAACTCGAAATACAAACACTTGTATTGAAGACTCTATACATACACGTCATACGGATGAAAGTACACAAGTGTTTACGTCTAGAACAACGTTATTGAAGGTGTTTATGTCCTTTCATACATATTGTAGGCACCCTAATTCCTTCCACTTTCATACTCGTTAATAGGGTATGAAAAACATACAGAACGAGAAGAGCATCAAGATATGTAGGATACAGTAGGAAAAACTTCATCGTCTTTCAAAGTCATCAGTGGGGTCCCCCAAGGATCAGTGTCATCAGTGGGGTCCCCCAAGGATCAGTGTCATCAGTGGGGTCCCCCAAGGATCAGTGTCATCAGTGGGGTCCCCCAAGGATTAGTGTCATCAGTGGGTCCCCCAAGGATTAGTGTCATCAGTGGGGTCCCCCAAGGATTAGTGTCATCAGTGGGGTCCCCCAAGGATCAGTGTCATCAGTGGGGTCCCCCAAGGATCAGTGTCATCAGTGGGGTCCCCCAAGGATTAGTGTCATCAGTGGGGTCCCCCAAGGATTAGTGTCATCAGTGGGGTCCCCCAAGGATCAGTGTCATCAGTGAGGTCCCCCAAGGATCAGTGTCATTAGTGGGGTCCCCCAAGGATCAGTGTCATCAGTGGGGTCCCCCAAGGATCAGTGTCATCAGTGGGTCCCCCAAGGATCAGTGTCATCAGTGGGGTCCCCCAAGGATCAGTGTCATCAGTGGGGTCCCCCAAGGATCAGTGTCATCAGTGGGGTCCCCCAAGGATCAGTGTCATCAGTGGGGTCCCCCAAGGATCAGTGTCATCAGTGGGGTCCCCCAAGGATCAGTGTCATCAGTGGGGTCCCTCAAGGATCAGTGTCATCAGTGGGGTCCCCCAAGGATCAGTGTCATCAGTGGGGTCCCACAAGGATCAGTGTCATCAGTGGGGTCCCCCAAGGATCAGTGTCATCAATGGGGTCCCACAAGGATCAGTGTCATCAGTGGGGTCCCCCAAGGATCAGTGTCATCAGTGGGGTCCCCCAAGGATCAGTGTCATCAGTGGGATCCCGCAAGGATCAGTGTCATCAGTGGGGTCCCCCAAGGATCAGTGTCATCATTGGGGTCCCCCAAGGATCAGCGTCATCATTGGGGTCCCCAAGGATCAGTGTCATCAGTGGGGTCCCCAAGGATCAGTGTCATCAGTGGGGTCCCCCAAGGATCAGTGTCATCAGTGGGGTCCCCCAAGGATCAGTGTCATCAGTGGGGTCCCCCAAGGATCAGTGTCATCAATGGGGTCCCCCAAGGATCAGCGTCATCAGTGGGGTCCCCAAGGATCAGTGTCATCAGTGGGGTCCCCCAAGGATCAGTGTCATTAGTGGGGTTCCCCAAGGATCAGTGTCATCAGTGGGGTCCCACAAGGATCAGTGTCATCAGTGGGGTCCCCCAAGGATCAGTGTAATCAGTGAGATCCCCCAAGGATCAGTGTCATCAGTGGGGCCCCCCAAGGATCAGTGCCATCAGTGGGGTCCCCACAGATCAGTGTCATCAGTGGGGTCCCCCAAGGATCAGTGTCATCAGTGGGGTCCCCCAAGGATCAGTGTCATCAATGGGGTCCCCCAAGGATCAGCGTCATCAGTGGGGTCCCCAAGGATCAGTGTCATCAGTGGGGTCCCCCAAGGATCAGTGTCATTAGTGGGGTTCCCCAAGGATCAGTGTCATCAGTGGGGTCCCACAAGGATCAGTGTCATCAGTGGGGTCCCCCAAGGATCAGTGTAATCAGTGAGATCCCCCAAGGATCAGTGTCATCAGTGGGGTCCCCCAAGGATCAGTGCCATCAGTGGGGTCCCCAAGGATCAGTGTCATCAGTGGGGTCCCCCAAGGATCAGTGTCATCAATGGGATCCCCCAAGGATCAGCGTCATCAGTGGGGTCCCCAAGGATCAGTGTCATCAGTGGGGTTCCCCAAAGATCAGTGTCATCAGTGGGGTCCCCCAAGGATCAGTGTCATCAATGGGGTCCCCCAAGGATCAGCGTCATCAGTTGGGTCCCCCAAGGATCAGTGTCATCAGTGGGATCCCCCAAGGATCAGTGTCATCAATGGGGTCCCCCAAGGATCAGCGTCATCAGTGGGGTCCCCCAAGGATCAGTGTCATCAGTGGGTCCCCCAAGGATCAGTGTCATCAGTGGGTCCCCCAAGGATCAGTGTCATCAGTGGGGTCCCCCAAGGATCAGTGTCATCAGTGGGGTCCCTCAAGGATCAGTATCATCAGTGGGGTCCCGCAAGGATCAGTGTCATCATTGGGGTCCCGCAAGGATCAGTGTCATCAGTGGGGTCCCCCAAGGATCAGTGTCATCAGTGGGGTCCCGCAAGGATCAGTGTCATCAGTGGGGTCCCCCAAGGATCAGTGTCATCAGTGGGGTCCCGCAAGGATCAGTGTCATCAGTGGGGTCCCCCAAGGATCAGTGTCATCAGTGGGGTCCCCCAAGGATCAGTGTCATCAGTGGAGTCCCGCAAGGATCAGTGTCATCAGTGGAGTCCCGCAAGGATCAGTGTCATCAGTGGGGTCCCCCAAGGATCAGTGTCATCAGTGGGGTCCCCCAAGGATCAGTGTCATCAATGGGGTCCCCCAAGGATCAGCGTCATCAGTTGGGTCCCCCAAGGATCAGTGTCACCAGTGGGATCCCCCAAGGATCAGTGTCATCAATGGGGTCCCCCAAGGATCAGCGTCATCAGTGGGGTCCCCCAAGGATCAGTGTCATCAGTGGGTCCCCCAAGGATCAGTGTCATCAGTGGGTCCCCCAAGGATCAGTGTCATCAGTGGGGTCCCCCAAGGATCAGTGTCATCAGTGGGTCCCCAAGGATCAGTGTCATCAGTGGGGTCCCCCAAGGATCAGTGTCATCAGTGGGGTCCCGCAAGGATCAGTGTCATCAGTGGGGTCCCCCAGGATCAGTGTCATCAGTGGGGTCCCCCAAGGATCAGTGTCATCAGTGGAGTCCCGCAAGGATCAGTGTCATCAGTGGAGTCCCGCAAGGATCAGTGTCATCAGTGGGGTCCCCCAAGGATCAGTGTCATCAGTGGGGTCCCCCAAGGATCAGTGTCATCAGTGGAGTCCCGCAAGGATCAGTATCATCAGTGGGGTCCCCCAAGGATCAGTGTCATCAGTGGAGTCCCGCAAGGATCGGTCGTATTCGAAATTTAGATCAATGATATGTAGATCAAATAGAAAGTCAAAAAGATTAATATTCTATATATTAGAAACTTTAGACAAATATAACATAAAGGTTGACAGACTGATGACGAGATTTAATGTTCATTATTGCCACATAATGCAAATGGCTGACATTGTAAGTAAATCCAAAAAGGAATTCGAAATATGTCAAATAATGATCTTCAGTTTATTAGTTGCGTTAATAGTCACCAGACGATCACGTAAGTGTAGTAATGTGATGTTTTTATGTTACACTAACTATAAAGACGCCTTCAATTAAGGGAATGTGAAATGTTGACAAAATAGTAACAGACAGATATGGTATGGTGACCCACCTTAAAATTGTGATAGAAAACATGCAAATAGCTAAATGGATATTTGTTTTTTAGTTACGAAATGAGAATCGTAAGAATTCTTGAAGACGCTGGAAACGTCTTCGGTGGAATACAGGAGATGGAGCGATTACACAAGACCATAAAAGGTCACCAGAAAATAGAGAAAAACAATTTCTTGGTAGCTGCAGTAAGGAGGAGTTAGTTTCACGTTACGACTGAAGATGTGCTAAGGAAGAACATTAAATGTTTATTTTAACAGATTAATTAACATATGATAAAGTGGTTAAATGAAATGATAGTTTGTGCTCTAACTATTGATAATTTTAGCAACCTACATGTAAATAGATCTTTAAAAACAGGCCACTATGAGCATAAACTCTGATCTTTCACTACAGATGTGTTGCTACAAGTATTTAAATCCATACTATGACAACACTGGCTCAGAGTTCCCACCTGTTACCATTACAAAGGTCTTCTCCGAAAGAAACTGAATCAAGCTGACACCTGGTGTCTCCACAGACATACTTATTCAATAATTCCACGAAAGTCAGCGCCTCTAGACTCGCACTTCCAGGACGCTGGAGTCTAACATTTCCTCAATATAATTTACCTATCCTGAGGTTTCTTCTACCCTACTGACCATTCACCCAGGGGGCTGAGTGTGCAACCTCTCTGGAAGCCATTAAACAAGCGCGCGCGCGTGCACACACACACACACACACACACACACACACACACACACACACACACACACACACACACACACACACACACATCTCCTGGTGTCGTAAACGTGATCCATATGTTCATCCCCTGCAGCATAAGTCATTAAATGGGTTACCTGTGGTGAGGGACCTTATATGGCCACCTCTTATTATTCGCACACATACGTACACAAAAACACACATACACACACACACACACACACACACACACACAAACACACACACACACACACACACACACATACACAGTGAGTACATACACAGGGGCAAGGAATGGTTCAGGACACTGTACACCGTGTACGTCAGGCCCATATTGGAATATGCAGCACTAGTACGGAACCCATACCTGGTCAAACACGTTAAGAAATTAGAGAAAGTGCAAAGGTTTGTAACAAGACTAGTCCCAGAGCTAAGGGGCATGTCCTACGAGGAGAGGTTAAGAGAAATCAACCTGAGGACACTGGAGGACAGGAGGGAAAGGGAGGACATGATAATGACATAAAATACTGAGAGAAAGTGATAAGGTGGACAGGGACAGGATTTTTCAGAGACGTGACACAGCAACAAGGGGTCACAATTGGAAGTTGAACACTCCTATGAGGCACAGGGATATTAGGAAGTATGTCTTCAGTCACAGAGTTGTCAGGAAGTGGAACAATCTGGAGAATGATGTATTGGAGGCAGGATCCATTCATAGCTTTAAGAAGAGGTATGATAAAGCTCACGGAACAGGGAGAGAGTGGACCTAGTAACGACCAACGAAGACACGGGGCCAGGTGCTGTGAAACGACCCCTGCATTCACTAATAGGTGAATACACACACACACACACACACACACACACACACACACACACACACACACACACACCCACACACACATACACACACACACAGTTCCAGTCCAAAAGTTGAAACCATTGAAGATTAGACCTTAATTTAACATACAATACAGGGAAGCTAAATCTACTGACAATAAGTCGTGAATGAAATGCAGAACAGAAACAGAAAAAACAACAACCAAGGAATTACTAGGAGGAAAGACAAGAGGTAATCTGAAAATATTATAGCCCTCAACACATTGCAGTCACCTAAGAAAATGATGAGTGAAGTAACGAGTGGTCAGTGTAATCCCTGAGCGGTATCTGATGATAGGTAACGAGAGGAAAATATATAAGGAACTAAACCACAGAGCTCAGGAAATATTTTCGATGGAACAGCTGCAGGAAATGAAGCCCAAGCGGAAGACAGTGTTGACACCTCAAGTAATGAAACCCGATGGTTTAAAGAGACACTCGAACAAACACTAGGTTACATTTATTATAAACGTTTCTATCCTAGGAGCGAAATGTTTTATATTTAATAAATATGTCCTCGTGTTTACTAGCGTGTATTTATGAACCACCTGTTGATGTCATGTATCAAGGTTTACACTGATCCTGAGAGAGCTGGTGTGGGAAGAAATATCAGGGCTGGCCAATATCTCGCCATGGATGCTGCTGAAGAAATCTTAAGCTGACCGAAATAATGACAGATTTACGGTACCGGAAACCAGAGCATCTCGGGATTACACGCTTCTCCATTGACCAGTAGCACATGTAAATGAAGCGATGCCACATCAGAATGTAAAAGGGAAGACCATGCCAAGAGGCTACATTAACCCGACCTCTAGCTTCAACTGATAGCCTAGGGCTACCAACAGCGGGAGTGGTTGTGCGAGTGGGCATCCTGGGTACTTACCTGTGTGGGTGCGGGAGTGAATGTGCGAGTGGGCATCATGGGTACTTACCTGTGTGGGTGCAGGAGAGGATGTGCGAGTGGGCATCATGGGTACTTTCCTGTGTGGGTGCGGGAGTGGATGTGCGAGTGGGCATCCTGGGTACTTACCTGTGTGGGTGCGGGAGAGGATGTGCGAGTGGGCATCATGGGTACTTACCTGTGTGGGTGCGGGAGTGGATGTGCGAGTGGGCATCCTGGGTACTTACCTGTGTGGGTGCGGGAGTGAATGTGCGAGTGGGCATCCTGGGTACTTACCTGTGTGGGTGCGGGAGTGAATGAGCGAGTGGGCATCATGGGTATTTACCTGTGTGGGTGCAGGAGAGGATGTGCGAGTGGGCATCGTGGGTACTTAACTGTGTGGGTGCGGGAGTGGATGTGCGAGTGGGCATCATGGGTACTTACCTGTGTGGGTGCAGGAGAGGATGTGCGAGTGGGCATCATGGGTACTTACCTGTGTGGGTGCAGGAAAGGATGTGCGAGTGGGCATCGTGGGTACTTACCTGTGTGGGTGCAGGAGAGGATGTGCAAGTGGGCATCATAGGTACTTACCTGTGTGGGTGCAGGAGAGGATGTACGAGTGGGCATCATGGGTACTTACCTGTGTGGGTGCAGGAGAGGATGTGCGAGTGGGCATCGTGGGTACTTACCTGTGTGGGTGCAGGAGAGGATGTGCGAGTGGGCATCGTGGGTACTTACCTGTGTGAGGGCAGGAGAGGATGTGTGAGTGGGCATCATGGGTACTTACATGTGTGGGTGCAGGAGAGGATGTGCGAGTGGGCATCGTGGGTACTTACCTGTGTGAGGGCAGGAGAGGATGTGCGAGTGGGCATCATGAGTACTTACCTGTGTGGGTGCAGGAGAGGATGTGCAAGTGGGCATCGTGGGTACTTACCTGTGTGAGTGCGGGCGTGAATGCGGAGATTTTCCTGCCTACTGAAGCGTTTCTCACACTGAGCACACACGTAGGGCCTCTCGTTGGTGTGGGTGCGGATGTGAATAAGCATCTTGTACCTGTATCGGCAGAAAGATGTGTTAGTGGTAGTAGTAGTAGTAGTAGTAATAGTTTATATATATATATATATATATATATATATATATATATATATATATATATAAATATATATATATATATATATATATATATATATATATATATATATATATATATATATATATATATATATATATATATATATATATATATATATATATATTATATATATTATATATATATATATTTATTATTTTATTATCACACTGGCCGATTCCCACCAAGGCAGGGTGGCCCGAAAAAGAAAAACTTTCACCATCATTCACTCCATCACTGTCTTGCCAGAAGGGTGCTTTACACTACAGTTTTTAAACTGCAACATTAACACCCCTCCTTCAGAGTGCAGGCACTGTACTTCCCATCTCCAGGACTCAAGTCCGGCCTGCCGGTTTCCCTGAACCCCTTCATAAATGTTACTTTGCTCACACTCCAACAGCACGTCAAGTATTAAAAACCATATATATATATATATATATATATATATATATATATATATATATATATATATATATATATATATATATATATATATATATATATATATATATATACATATATATATAATTAAAAAGCTGAGGCTAGCCGGGGATCGAACCCGTGTTATTTTTGCCCGCCTTGTGGGAAGCAAGTCAAAACTCATGACACTTTAACAACTTCTCCATCAATCCTACTTACTTCTCACGAAACTGGCTAAAATAACACAAGTTCGATCCCCGGCAGGCCGCAGTTTTTTAATTGCCTACAAACTGTTTGTTAATTACAACACTTTGGGCCTGATGCCTCTCAGAATGTCTTGGATTTAATTTATAATGGAAATCTATGTTCATTACTATTAGTGTTGGATTCTAAGATGTCACTAATACAGTGTTTAATTTCACACTTCTTGTTGCATCGGAGACTTACCAAACCTTACTCATAGGCCATTGAGATCTACGTAGCGTTTAAATCTCTCTTCAAACGAATTACATCTCAAGTTCAAATTGATTTAATGTTGAAATATTATCTCAAAAGTATCTGAGACTTATCTGACATTGAAGCCTTTGATCCAGTAGAAACCGAAACCTATCTTAGGCTAAAAACCCTGATTAGAACCCAAGACTTACCTAGCATTGAAACCCTTGGTCCTGGAGCACCCATGCCAGAAACAGAAGAAGGCGCCGTGCTGGGAGGTGACATGAGCCGCGGTCAAATGTGACACCAGCTCGTCCAGACTCTCAAAGCTCAACCCACACCCGACCCATCTGTGAAGAGACCGAACACTCTGTTTAGTGAAGGACGAGCTCCCAAAGACCCAAGCAATTTCCTGTTATTATCCGAAGTCTGTGAAAGACTCAACATATGCTGGTTAATGAGAGCTTCTGTGCCAGACACCATCACAAGCCGGCTGTGAGTTTATCTATGTGGGTAGTCAGTGGTGAGTTGATTTGTATTGGTAGTGAGTTGACCTGTGCAGGACTGGTGTCCTGTGAAGACGTGCCTTGTGGATACTCATTTCTAGCTCAAGCAATGATGTCTTCTCTGGAAAAGCTTCCCTCACAAGGTGAAGGAGTAGCTGAAGGAAGCTACAAGTGGAATACAAATGGGAGAATAAAATGACTCGTAGCAATCTTCTTGAAAGTGATGATGAATGAAGTAGCTGGACAGTGATAGAGAGGAAAGGCGCTAAATAAAGACTAGAAGAAGTCAAGGAACTTTTGAAACTACCAGTTTTTGTTGTTGTGATCCATAATCAATACAGGACATCTAATCCAGTAACGATGGTAAGGAGTATCAGAGAAACGCTACTGGTGTTCCCAGTCCTGTTGTGGAAGACTTTCAGGTAAGAAGCTGGACAGGAAGAAGAGGTGAGAGTCTGCCTTTCTGGTGCTGGAATGAAGGATGCTGGGGACAGGATGACTGGAACTAGGAATGAACTCGTCGTTTGTCTTAGTTCTAGGAAGTAGCGGCGTCAGGAACTCTCGAAGCGAGCTGTTAAAAAGGTTCAGGAAGACCATTGATATTATTAAAGCAATAGGGTGGCATGCGTAAAATATGTGGCGTTCTGCCTAGGATGACGGCAGGAAACGAATGACTAACCAGGGCCATTGGATTTAACTGCCGACTTTGTAAGCATTGCGAGAAGTTAAAACTGATTGACAACTGGGATACCTTTCTCGACAACGGTGTCACGTATGCAAGGTATGGAATACATCTCTCATGAATGGAAGGTAAAACCTTAGTGGCTTCAATGGTGAGAGCTATCACGTAACCTGTCTGGAGGTTAAATTACTTTATATCAGTGATCTGGGAGACCTGAAACTTAAATGACGATACTCTGTGAAATTAACATGTCTGTAAAGTTTGGCTTCGCGGGAGCTGGTGTGAGTTTCCTTGTAAAGTGTAGACGGTGTGTAGATCGAAATGATAATGGAAAGCATTCCTAAATCGCAAAGAAAATAATGTTGAGTAATGATGAAAGAAATATACATAATGTAGAAAATAAAGATGATCGAGGGGAAGACAGAAAAGAAAAGCCTTCACATACAAACTGCCGTAGCGCTACGAACAAGATATACGATAAATTATTAATTTTACGTACTGGAAATGTAGATATTATGACAATAATCTTGAAGAGTCGATATGCACCTGCGAATGCCACCTACAAGGATTTAAATTATTTCATAATGAAAGAATCAACATGAAAAAGAGAACTTGAATTGCTACACACACACAAAAAAAGAAAAGAATGTAAAATTTGATGGAACTAATCCTAAATCTGTGTGATTGTTATTGTTGGATAAAAGAGCTCAAGTGCAGTTAATGCAACATTTTTCTATGGCAACGTTTTGCTCTCCAGGAGTTTTGTCAGACTTTTATAAAGAATACAAAGGCCTGATGAAGCTCCTGAAGAGCGAAACGTTACCACAATAAAATGTCGCATAAGTTGCACTTACGTCAGCAAATGTTCCATTATTACAGACAGTTGTAATTATCTGAAGGAAATGAGAATCTGATCTTAGGCACGTAGTACCGACCCCCGAACGTCCAGGGGAGACTTCACTGGGGCGAAGTTATCATTTCTTTCACACACGAAGTAAATACAAGATATAACAACTGTAGCCAAGTTGCCTTCATTTCCTTGACTGAAAGTTTAAAGTCTAACGACTTCACTGAGGCGATTCAAGATTTTTTTTTTCAATAATTTTATGATTCGAAACAACGGGGAGGTGGGGGGAGGGGGGGGAGGGGGGAGGGGGGAGGGGGAAGGGGGGAGGGGGGGGAAATGACGTGCATGATTTAGTTATGGTTAATAAAGAGAATATTTATAGTAAGAAGAGAGTAAATGCTGGCAATTACAGAAAGTGAACGAGAATGTATACATTTAGGATTCCTTACCTGGAGTTACCTGGAGGTTATTCCGGGGATCAACGCCCCCGCGGCCCGGTCCACGACCAGGCCTCCCGATGGACCAGGGTCTGATCAACCAGTCTGTTACTGCTGGCCGCACGCAGTCCAATGTACGAGCCACAGCCCGGCTGATCCGGCACTGACTTTAGGTATCTGTCCAGCTCTCTCTTGAAGGCAGCCAGGGGTTTATTGGTAATTCCCCTAATGCTTGATGGGAGGCTGTTGAACAGTCTTGGGCCCCGGACACTTATGGTGTTTTCCCTTAGTGTACCAATGGCGGCCCTACTTTTAATTGGGGGCATTTTGCATCGCCTGCCCAGTCTTTTACTTTCGTAGGGAGTGATTTCTGTGTACAGATTTGGGACCATTCCTTCCAGGATTTTCCAAGTGTAGATTATGATATATATCTCCCTCCTGCGTTCCAACGAGTACAAGTCAAGTGCTTCCAAGCGTTCCCAGTAGTTAAGGTGCTTGACAGAACTTATACGTGCAGTAAGGATCTCTGTACACTCTCTAGATCTGCGATTTCACCTGCTTTGAACGGAGATGTTAATGTGCAGCAGCATTCCAGCCTAGAGAGAACAAGTGATTTGAAAAGGATCATCATTGGCTTGGCATCTCTCGTTTTGAACGTTCTCATTATCCATCCTATCACTTTCTTTGCACGTGCGGTCGTGGCACTGTTGTCATCCTTGAAAGTGAGATCCTCAGACATTACTACTCCCGGGTCCCTTACATTATTTTTCCGCTCTATTGTATGACCAGAGTCTGTAGTATACTCTGTTCTAGTTATTATCTCCAGTTTTCCATAGCGGAGTAGTTGGAATTTGTCCTCATTGAACATCATATTGTTTACCGTTGCCCACTGGAAAACTTTGTTTATATCTTCTTGGAGGTTAACCGCGTCCTCAGCAGATGACAGCCTCATGCAGATCCTAGTATCATCCGCAAAGGATGATACGGTGCTGTGATGTATATCTCTGTCTATGTCTGATACGAGGATGAGGAATAAGATGGGGGCGAGTACTGTGCCTTGTGGAACAGAGCTCTTCACTATGGCAGCCTCCGATTTAACTCTGTTGACCACTACTCTTTGTGTTCGATTTGTTAGGAAGTTGAAGATTTGTCACATTTAACATTGACTTAAAGCTTATTAATAAGGATAGTGCAGTGAAAGTCCCAGATTTTCTCTCTGCTGATTACAATGGTCATAGAAAACACTTGTTATGTGTTGACTGTAGGAACTACGAGTACGACAGTTTTCGAAACTCTATACAAACTGCTCCCCCCCCCCGTTCTCCAAAAAAGAAGAGTATATTACCTTACAGACAAATAAGATTAAAGTTGTTCTGAAGTGGATAAACAGGAAACTAACACATTATTTTTGGGTGAGAAGAGAGTTAAAAAATAGATGGGGAAGCTACACGTGACTATGTCATTAAAGTTTCGTGAGAATTCAACAATAATCCGAAAACTTTCTTCCGAATATATTGTACAAAGATTAGAGAAAATTTCGGTCGACTTCAAACTTACTCTGGACACCTTATTGATAATGAGAATTAAACGTGTTTGATTTTTATTTCCTGTCGATTTTTGGCACAAGAGGACATAAACAAAATCCAGCTAATCAATTGTTGAAGTGAAGAAGAGGAAAATAATGTAATACCAGAGTCCCTAGAGACGTAGAGGAAAATAATGTAATACCAGAGTCCCTAGAGACGTAGAGGAAAATAATGTAATACCAGAGTCCCTAGAGACGTAGAGGAAAATAATGTAATACCAGAGTCCCTAGAGACGTAGAGGAAAATTATGTAATACCAGAGTCCCTAGAGACGTAGAGGAAAATAATGTAATACCAGAGTCCCTAGAGACGTAGAGGAAAATAATGTAATACCAGAGTCCCTAGAGACGTAGAGGAAAATAATGTAATACCAGAGTCCCTAGAGACGTAGAGGAAAATAATGTAATACCAGAGTCCCTAGAGACGTAGAGGAAAATAATGTAATACCAGAGTCCCTAGAGACGTAGAGGAAAATAATGTAATACCAGAGTCCCTAGAGACGTAGAGGAAAATAATGTAATACCAGAGTCCCTAGAGACGTAGTTACTAAGTAGGAAGACCGTTTAAAACAAAATCCCGAGGTCGACCGATTAAAACAAAATCTCCAGGTCAACCGATTAAAACAAAATCCCGAGGTCGACCGATTAAAACAAAATCTCCAGGTCAACCGATTAAAACAAAATCCCCAGGTCGACCGATTAAAACAAAATCCCCAGGTCAACCGATTAAAACAAAATCCCCAGGTCAACCGATTAGAACAAAATCCCCAGGTCGACCGATTAAAACAAAATCCCCAGGTCAACCGATTAAAACAAAATCCCCAGGTCCAGATGAATTGTTTCCCAAGGATTCTTGAAGAATAAAATGAGGTGAAATCAGAATGTACTTCAGACACAAGAGGCGTTCCACAAGGACCTGTTTCGGCGCCCTTGTTATTTATAAATTCCCTGACAAATTTTGTAGAGAGAATAAAGAGCGACACAAAATAATTCGCTGAACACACAAATATAGGCCGAGTAATAGATTCAAATGAGTATTCCTTTCTTAATAATTTTCCAACTTACTTCTGAAACTACCCAAGGCGTTACCTTCGATAAGAAAAATTGTCTGGTGATACCGACAAGATGTGAAGAAAGACATTTTTGGGCAATTCAGGACATTTATTGGAGGAAACGTTTCGCCACGAGGACTAAAGAAGCTTCTAATGGCGAAACGTTCTGTAGATAAGTGTCTCACGTTACCTTCAACAACTATACTTAGCAGAATGGTCCCCTGATTAATAACACTAATGCT